ATTAATTTAGAAGCAACGATTTAGAAGGCAATACTTTAAAAGAACAATTTTATTAAATGTCGATAGATACATTTATTAGTCCGGAGCATAGTGGAGGACTATATATTTCTATACAATTTTGATGAAAATGTCCGTCTGTCCACCCCTGTAATATAAATATATCATTTTTACATATTTATTTTTTATTCATTTTAAGTCTAACTTTTCTTTTTATCGAACACTTAGGTTATTTATTGATCAATCCGAAATCAGAATATTTAACTTTTCGATTAAAGCTTAAATATTAACTCTAAATAATAACGTAAGTTTAATTATAGTTAAACGGTGACTATATAGTCTAATAATTCTAACACAGATAATTATAGCGGTAATAAGATAGTAAGTAATAACATTAATTATGTCAAATAATTTCTAACACTTATTATAATTTTTAATACACGAATAAGCATAATATTACATCATTAGTGACTTCTTATTTTAGTTTCGGGTATACATAATATCGATATAATATCGATATTAGTGACAGACGGACATTTTTTTAGTTTCGGGTATACATATAAGTCCTTCGCTACGCTTCGGACAAACATTTTTTTAGTTTCGGGTATACATATAAGTCCTTCGCTACGCTTCGGACAATAATTATTATTCTTCGTGAATAAAGAATAAGACTTTTTGTTTAACGCAATATTAATGACGGTTCGAAAATTTTAATGCAAAATAAATTTGCTTTACATTGTTATAGAGTGAATCGGTGTGACGTAGGGAGCAGGCAGAAACGGCATAGACGTAATTTGTATCTTTAGAGGTATGCATATACAGTAACTGATGATAACACACGAGAAAAACAAGAGACAGACACCTCCCAAAAATCAGTTAATAAAAAATATTTTTACTAACCTACGTAATCCTACGTCGCTCAATACTGTACTATAATTAATTATTAATTTTAAAAAGGGTTTTTTTAAAATGTTATTTCCTTTAAATTACTGTAAATATTTGTGTTAAAAAGACAATTAATTTAAAACTGTAACCGGTGAGTCCGAAATCATGACCAAGGTAAGAATTTTTAAGGTTTTCAGCTCCTGAGGCGATTTTGATTTGTATTGCATCGGATACTTACTAACTTTATCGTTCATTCCTTAGGAATTTTCTATTCACTCACTAGAAAATTTGTAATAACAGGTTAATGGCTTATTTTAAGGTTTACACTTTATATTTTTTAACATCCTATTATACAATAGCTTCTCTTTTTTACCTATTCTCACTTCCCTATTTATACGATTAGCTTGTTTCCGCAACAGCTTATTAAATGTTTCTAATTTGATAATAAAGTATTTAATTTAATGATCGATAAATTTTCTTAATTATAGTGTAACGGTGATCGCGTAACGATGGTAAGTGTTTTATTTATGAGTGAGGCGGAATTGATTGTGACCGATAAAAGAATGACTTTTTTATTAATGAGACGGGTCTTTTTTATACAATTAGTTCAATAATTACATAATAATCGACAATAGGAAAATAAACTAAACAAAAAAAGAAATTGAAAATAATAGATTGCAGCAAAACCATTAAATACGTAATAGATTATCATTTTTGTCGCAATATTACATAATTCATTTATCCGACAAGCAGAAACGTGTCACGTGACTTAACTCGATTTTTTCTTTGATTATGCGATAGTTCTCTGTCACATTATTTCACATTATTTCACATTTTTACATGTGTGCTGTTTATTATTTCGACGTGTTTTGTCCAAGTTAGAACTCGCGATACTGTACTATTGTAACATGAGTAATGGCGACGCGATCTGCACTGACAACGATCTCCAAGTAGTAATATCTTTATTTTTATTTTTTTTTCAATTAATGTTTCGAAAGGACAACTAGCGTTTCTCGATATTATGCAGGGATTTGATCAGTCACGTCCAAACAATCAAAATTTATTCAATATTATAAGTAGTGTAATTAATATTATTAGATGATATGATATTTAAAATTTTTTAAAATTATTAAAAATCACGAGTTTTTTTTTCATTTATAGTAATGAGAAATGTCGATTTCGAGAAGAGATATCTTTTTATTATGACAAATGATTAAATAAGCGAATTTTTATAGGAATAATTAATAAATTTCTTTATGACTTGTGGATTTTATTAAAAATATTAATTGCATGCGTGCATGAACAACGGATTATTTAATCATCAACATTCGACTGAATATAGTAAATTATACAAAACAAATTGAAGCATGCAAAAAGTACTGGTTCTCTATTCAATTAACTATCACATCAATAAACTTATTTATTTATTGTTTTTTAGTCCCTCATTTATTAATTTCCCGACCACGACCATTTCCCGTGTCATTGATACGTCATTATGTAATGACTCCCTAGTATAAACTAAGCAGACAATATGTGCAGCTAACATGCATAAATGAGCAAGTTAAATCGTTATAAAACCCCCCTTTTTTTGTTTTAGTTCATCTAAGGCTGTCATCGAAAAAAATATTGAATTTATAAAATTTCTTTGTCAGAAGATAATAATAACAATGAGACATTTTTTATTCTTTCTATTATTGGTAATATTTCTGGCTGCAGGTATAAATTCCTTTCCAACGAACGAAAAACATCAGAAAAAATGCGTAGGAAACAAGATTGGAACTATCACTAGTAATTTCCTTTGACTTTTCTTTCATCTTAAATATGGAATGATAAATTATTAACACTGTCAATGATAAAAAATACAGAACAACCAAATATAAAAGTTCCTGAAGATATTGCGGTTCCTGCAAAAAATGAATTTGCATATGCTTTATACCTTGCCGGATCTTTAAATTGGACTTGTGTTGTTTATCCCAATGGCACGGCATTTTGGAATAACAGTAAGATTTCCTTTTTCTCTCACGCCAGTTATTTTTATAATTAATATACAGTAAATAACCACCGTATTGAATTATTGTTTCATGTTATTGCAGCCTACGTTGACGCATATATAATAAATGATCGAAATAATTTTCAGTTCGATGATTATTGCATCATCGGTCA